ATTTTGACCTGTAAGCATCTTTGTATATCGGAGCACAAAGGTTCTTGCTATCTTGCTATGCAACTTCATTATGATTACCCTTATTGAATAAAGAAGGAACAGAAATTAACTATATTAATATAAGCTTGCTTTAAGCAAATTTATTCACCGAAAAAAACAATCATTTGCTGTCAGTTTACCTTCAATTACTTATTTAATTATGAATTTAAGCCTCTGTAATTTTGATGAAATGTTTGTCGGTCCTATCTTCACATCTTCAATACAACACATGCAATTGTTATCGAAGATTTATGAAATAGTTAATAAAATACACTCATTCTGACGTGTGTTTACACTAATTAATTCGCCATTATTCCGTATCGCATGATTTCACATCGCTTAAAGAAGTATTGGACCTCTATACACTTGACCCCTGAATACGCATTTTATCTTCATTGTATTGTTAAGGGCTTACGTCGTTTATTAAACGTTGCTCTCATTTGTTGTATTATGTTTTCATATTTTTTTAATATCAAAGAGAACCCTTTTTATGTTACCGTAGAACGAGCAATAAACCAATTGAAATACATGTAGTTGCATTCTAAGTAAAATTACTGTTATTTTGTGTAATAATGATCAACTTATGTTTGATTACTAACATTAATTTTGCTTTTAAATCATTGCATTGATTGGTTACTCTATTTTGTTACCCAGATTTTTTTAGCTGTATATATATACAGTACTCGTATATGTAAAATATAAACGTATATACAGCAAAAACATATATACAAAATAGAACTTTTATTCCTTCGATTTATACATAGTACATCATCTATTTTGTAACTCAGCACAACTCAGTCGTTTAGTAAGTTAAGGGCAAACAAATGTATAGATAAGCTTGCAAGAACGTGATGCTTTACACTCACCAAATTCAAATGATCCTTTCCATAACATAGAATTTTTTAAAAACCTCATTATATCAAGGTTAAGTGGGATTACAGTTAGTTGAATAGGACAGTAATTAATTATTAACAAGTTTACGACATGTTATGACTCCCCATTATAACACTCCATTAAACTATTTGACTGAACTATGAAGACAGACTTACGCCAAACCTACTTGAACCAAGTCATTCGTATAAGCTAAAGGATTTATGTTTAATTGTGACATTGTGATAATAATCATAGTCAGAAATCTTCTTTTAAGGCATGAAAAATGCTTTTTCAAAACGAAACCGATTAAAGAAAGTGTGCTATTTTTGTGTTTTTTTTTCCATCCAAAACTTTATGTTTTTATCTATTCGCGAATACAACACAGTGATAGTAATGATTTATCTTGAAATATCATTAAGAAAAATCACATAAATTACACTCATTTTCTATCAGGAGACAATTTCCATGACGTCATATCAATATCACATGTACACTTTTTCAGACATCATAGACGTCAAAAGTACGAGTAACCACATTAAAAAACATTAGAAACGTTCTTCATACGAATGGGAATTTATTAGTTATGGGGATATTGGTATGACAGTTCCTGCTGGCACAACAGCGCAAATGGGTAGGTACATTTTATAGAAGAAAATCGGGAGTACAATGGTATGACGAGATTATGAAGAAAAGCTTATCGGACGCTATAAGACAGACACAGTTAAATCATTCTCAAAATATGTTAACCACCCGGACAAATGGCATGAATTGGATCTATTCGACCAGTTACCATAGTTCGTTACACAAACACATTGGCATGTTATCATAGTGGATGCACCTCTTGGATGCTGTGAAAAAGGCCCTGGATGATATCAGTCTATATATACGTCATGGAAACTTGCTGATGTGTACACATATTTTTGACGACGATTTCGAACGCAAAGTTGAGTTTTCTATGAATATATTTAGACAACCGATAGAGGTGATAAAAAGAGCGGATGCAAAATTTTCGAAAGAAAATGAGCAAGCACATTCCATAGTCCATTATTAATAAGGGTTATAAAGACTACTCTACACTAAAATAAAATAAAAGTGGCAGAAATTCAGACAACACTAAAATTACGGAAGTCGGTAAAACTGGAAGTATGTTACATGAATTGATACAATCGCACACGTAACCGTTCACTCAGAATTTTGTTAAAAATAATATTAGATGCAAGCACACTGAAATTGAGATTGTTTGGCTTGGTAAAGAATTATGTTTAGTGAGAAACACAACTACATACGTTTTCACTTCTAACTACAATGGTCGTACTGCTTTATTCTTACCTTTGTTTTACATACGTTTAGCAGCTGTTCCCTAGTTTTATCATGTAAATTGTCTTTGTTATAGAATGCTATTATATTGTTATGTGCTTTATATATTTGTAGTCTCTGGTAATTCTTTATAGAATGGCTATATACATGCTTTATGATATGTTTTTATGTTGCATTAAATTGTACCATGTATATAGATGATACTTTAATAATAAATAAATAAATATGTGTGTAATGCGATTAAATTAAGAGCTGAAAAAATTATAAATGCTGCTGTGCACTATTAAGTTTTGATTACTTCTGAAATGAGCTGCTATCTTTAGATAATGAAATTTCAAATCAATATAGAAGATTTCTGACCCGCTAGTTCTTTGTAAGGTTAAATGCTATTCTTGTATATATATGTGTGTGACTTTGTTCAACCTTTTAAATTTTTGTATCTGGTTAATATCTCAGTTAGGAAAACTTTATTTTAGTTATGAATCTTTTCACTACAAACTAAGTAACATTATTTATTTGTCCTGAAACATCAAACTGTTGCAGGTTGGTAGAATCGTTCATATCTTTTGGTGTATCATTTCACATAGACTAGCAATTGTTTCATGAGAAAGGAAATGCCTTTTGCAACAGGTAATGTCATTACAATTATGTTGAAAAAAGGCATTCATTACTGCATTTATTTCAATGATGATAATGGAAAGACATAAAAAACAGTATAATGGTTCATCTTCAAAGGCTTAAATATGACACATTTGCATGTTACATCATATGTCTAAATATATTTCTAGATAAACACTACATTTATTTCCAAAGATATATTAGGCCCATTTTGGACGTCTTTTATACTGGCATTATGCCCAATCAAATGTAAATTTTAAAATGATTGTAAATGCTGTTTGCAATGTGTAACTTTCTTCCTTTGTTGACAATATTGTACTAATAAATACATTAGCAAATGTTCCATTAAACAGAGCGTGAATCTGGAGGTATGCGGCTTTAAACAGAGCACAGAAATTCAGACATTTACACTTAGTATACATGCCGTCAAAATCTTGGTTTTCGAGGTTTACGCAGTCCAGGTGCTTCATCCGTCATCATTAGTGTACAAATCAATAAATCCCTTGCATGAATATAACACAGTTGCTATGTTCAAATTTGTGTCATTGTCCACCGTATTGGCATTGCAGATACGATTGAAAACGATTGAACTTGTTTCAGCATAAAATATCATTGTTATACTTTAACAATGTCTATTTTATTGTTTATGGATATATCACATCAGGACAACTTTCAGACGTAAATCGACAATATGAACACAAGTGCGCAATAAATTGTCACTCAGATCAAGTAGCTGATGTCCTATTTGCACTTTTCTTATACAATTAAGAGGGGATTAACTATTTCGCTTAAATAGAGTTTACGCACGTGTGTCTCGTTTCTTAAAATCTTAAAACACAAATGTCAGAAGATAAACTCTGAATATGTATTATTAAACACTAACCTATACATACAGTTCAATTTGAGAGCAAATTATATTGCCCCGCCCACTAAAATCATGCTGAAAATGAATGTATATGCCCAAACTTATAAAGATACACAACATGATGTCATTTTCTTAAAGAACAATTGTAAAAAAAACCCATTGAAAATGCTGTACAAAGTGTTAGTCATACGTTTAGTTTTTTTTTGTGCAAAATCTTATCAAACTTTCGTAATTGTTTTGTAGCAGATGACAATCTGAAATTTACAAATTTCAACCACCTAATGCATACAGAGCTACCGGAAGTTCATTTTCGCACACATATTTAGCATTTTTGCTCATTTTCTACATACAAATTGCAAAGTGAAATAGTAACAAATTTCAACACCTTCAAAACATAAGTCTGTATTATTGATAAATTTCACTTTGGCCTAAGCACGAATATTCCCCTGCCACAAGTCTTCATGGTCAAAATGCTACTAGTATTACAAATTTGGAAAACATTTTCCATTGTAAAAAAAATATCTGTCTTTTATCCTAATGAAAGCACAAAACAAATATATATTGTACATCATTATTTTGCATCGATATTATATTATCGCTGCGCAATAACCGCTTGTTTACATGTTATAGGATACAACAACAAGTGTATATGACGAATCATGTTTATAACGAATCATGAATATGACGAATCATACACACTAAATTTACTGAAAAAAAATGCAAAAACACTTGTTACACATTGTGCATTCCTGGGTATATTTTAAGGATTCACAAATGTCTTTAAATGACATTTAAATACAATGACTATGTATTTATAGCCGTCAAATGCGTTGATAATGATTCGTTTTATGGATCATATATAAGGGATGACAATTTATAAGTGTTTAGCATGTATACTTAAAATATAATTGAACATCTGTCAAATCCATAAAGGGATTCATCGCAAACGCGCAATATGCTCAATGTGCATTTTGATAATCCGCCAATATGTTTCCAGAACAAAGGAATTATATAATATACCTTTGTTTAACTATGTTTCAATGTTATCTTTTATTTTGTACAGCATTGGAAACAGCTACAATTTATGTGATAGTAGCAGCTTGAGGAAAACTTTACAATATAAAACTTTCACTACAATAAGCTTCGTATGCAAAAGAAAACATTGAAAGCTTTATTTTCATCTGCAATCTTAATGATTACTGTATGTTTTGTACAAATCACACGTGTCAGTCAATTTCGTAGCTATAAATGTCTCAGACCCAGCTTTCCCGTTATAGTTAATAGGGGTGTCTATCATATCATATTGATAGAACTTTTCCTGAAGCTGCACTGCTTTCTGTTTAACAGGAGGAAGGACACTAAACGGATTGTTTCCTTCAAAATGAATCTAAGACATATTGTTGTCATTGGAATATATGTGTGCCTTTGTAAGTATTAGTTTAAACTTAACTTGTTTATAAATCTAGATTCAGTTCTTCAGAAAATCTTCATTATATTCAGTAAGAAAAAAACAAACAACTCTGATATAATTGTTAATAAATCTAATTTCAATTCGTAAAGACATTTAAAATAAATTCGTTAAGAAATTTAAATAAAATTCTTTCAGAAATCTTAATTCACTTTGTGAAGAAATTTTATCGTAATGTTATGTGTTTATGTCTGCACCATAACTATTTGATCAATATTGACACCATGCATAGTAAACACATAACGCCTGTCTTAATATCGACACTATGTACAATTCACTATACATAAATAGCATCAATATATAAGTGACATAGGTAAAATAATGTTAACATATGTAAATATCATTGTTAGTAATGATAGACTTGAATCTCTTGATATTTGATAGCGCTTTTTGTTTTCATTATGTTAAACGATTTTTTATTGAAAGGAAAACCCATTTCATTAACAATCTATTTTGTAACTTGGTATGCAAAGACGTGTCGCATGTCTCTGTTCAATTGAAAGTTATTTGCCAACGGCGCTGGGTGGAAATTAAAATTTAGATACGTGCTGAAAATATATTATTGTTTTATTTCTTTGCAACCGGAAATAATCCGTACTTATATCTGACTGAATGAGCAATGTAGAGAAAAAAGTCCACATTGAGTGATTTAAATAATATCTTGCTGACATAAATAAAATTAATTAGCGCTAAATAAGAATACAATAAGTTATGTCTCTGAAAATATAATAGTAATTAGAGCAAGCATTGTGTATTTGTATACTCGTATATGTACATTATTGTCAAATAAACTACAATTAATCTATGTCATATCTACCGTTCCTATGCATGAATTATAAAATAAAATCTCGCTCTAACAAATGTATGCGTCATTTAATTGAATCATAAAAACACATGTGAATGAACCTAAAATTTCATGTATTCCTAGAAAAGATTTCGCGCGTTTTAAGTTAGCGCTTTTCGCGGTAGGCATGACTCCGCGAATCTTTATAGCCGCGAATATGTCAGTGATAACAAAGCCGCGAACATTTCTAGCTTCAACCAAATATAGACATAAACACGCAGAATTTTCATTATAATCTTACTTGCGGATACATACGGGGTTTAATATACATGACAAAATACAATTAATGCACATAACAAAAAGACACTGAAAGAAAAAATGTCAATTATTAGTAATTATCATGTTTATTGACGTTATTCGCTAGTCACGGCGTATTCAAAAGCATTTATAGTTTGCGTACATTGTGTATGTGTAATCCTTTGTTAAAAAATACAAAAGCGATCAAGTGCAACATTGATAAATTATAATGAGAGTAATGTACAGTCGGAGCACGACATTACCGTTATATAAATCCAGACGTCTGGACCGAAAAATAAACATAAACCGGTAAATTTCCAGCTACTTTTAAGTAATACACTCGTTCTAGTTAATAAATTTTAAGGTCAATCACGGATTGCTGAATCATTAATGTGACAGTTATATTTGAAAATTAGGCTGTACTGTGTGCGCATATACCAGGGTGGAGACTGAGAATAATTTTATTTTGATATTATTTTTTATGTTTTTGACATAAAATACATGTAGGTTTATACCGTAGCCTCCAAAAACTGTAATTTAGGCCGTAGCGACTTAATATTCGCGGAATTCGCATTAACTACAAATCCGCGAAAGTTTGTCTCCGCGAAAATGCCGAAAAACGCGAAATATTGTATCCGCGAACATTTCAAGGAATACAGTACTACAATAAAAATGATTGAAAAATATTACTAGTATTTGAAATTTCATTTTACATTGTATATTAAAATGCAAGTTTTTTTATAAAAATAATTGTCAAATGTTTGTGTTATTGTATGTAATATTAGGAATACATGACCAAAATAAAGCACATCAGTTATTCTATCTTTACTTTAAACAAAATATATAAAATAAGGACTTTAAAGAACGCCAAAACGCTGCAGTATTGAAATGCTAAAGTATCGGTTGACCTGAGTTGATTTTTTCCCTGGGTGGCAGTAGCTCATACAAATAACCGTGCATTGACTTGAGACCTCGTCTTATGTAAATAATAACTTGGTATACAGACTGCTTTAATATGTTAAAATAACAGCTTATATTAGCTTTTGTTTATCTAAAAGAAATGCTCTGATATCTTTATTAATCACGATTGTCTTTTTTAAGATTTTAAAACTATTGTTTAAGTATTTTATTTAAACTGAAGGTTTAAAGAGCACAGATGGTCGTCACATACGTGAGACGGGTAAGTTTGCTTATTATATCTTTTCAAACTTGATAATATTTTTATATTTCTGTGTTGTTAAAATAACAATTATGATAAAAAAACTTTTTACTTGAAACTGTTAATTTGCGGCAGTATTTACACTAAGAACTAGCTAGGGGATTTTATCAATTGACTAAAGCAACGAACAGACTGTATGGATTATAAGACTTTATTTACTTTTCAATATAAGGCACGTTTTCACTTCAAATGTAAGGCTACTATGAAGTTCACTACGACATTATTAACATAAAACAATGCCACTATGCTCAAGATCAGCAAAATGAATGTGCTTTTTTTTTCATTGAAAAAAGTCGCCATTTTGAATTGCTGCTAGGTAGGTTTCCGAGATATTTTTAAAACAAGATACCTCACAACAATGGCATTTCACATTTATTGTTTTTTGATCACTATAAGTACTTAACTTTTTTAAAGGTTATGTGTAGTCAATTAAAAAAATGTCAATAATTAAGTGTTTTTATAATGGCCTTGTTATTGGGCCTTTGGCCTCAGGCTAATATGACAGTATTCAGCCCAATAACAAGGTCATTATAAAAACACTTGATTATTAACATTATATTATTCATTAACTTTTCAATGTTATGCACTTCAAATGTTAGGCTAATATGAAGCTCACCACGACATTATGACACAAGGTAATTAAGGAGAAAGTAGGCCTTTATGAGAAAACTCGGCTATTATGAGATATGAGAATTTTGATTGGCTCTCCGGCTCGGTCATTATGAATCTGCTTTCTTTTCAATGAAAAAGGTTACCATTTTGAATTGTTACAAGGGAGGTTTCCGAGACATTTTTAAAACAAGAATCTCATTTGCAATACTTCACAACAACGGAATTTCACATAAGTTATTTTTGTTCATTAAGTACTTAAGTTTTTTTAATTATGTGCAGTTACAGTTTATTAATAAAATTGCCAATAATCAAGTGTTTTCGTAATAGCCTTGTCTTTAGACTGTCATATTAGCCTTCGGTCTTTGGCGTCAGATGGGGAAGAAGAAGGGAAACCATCACAAAATATAAAGTTTATATGTGTATATGCTTGTATTCAGTGTGATTAATATGAACCAAGGCGGAGCATACAACAGCACATCCGGTATCTTTGTTGCTCCACAAGCTGGAACATACTATTTTAACGCTCACCTTTGTTTGGCTGTTGGTAACCCTCTTGCATTTGATGTCATGGTTGGGTCGTCCGTCTACACCTCGACATATGTTAGAGGTCAAAATGGTTGTGAGTGTACATCTATACTAGCTATTGCAGTTCTTAACCAGAATGACCAGGTATATCTACGATGGAAAACCTACTCGTATACAAGTAGTTCCGTCATATATCAAGGTATTCCAGAAAGTACCTTCACTGGAATGTTGCTTTATTGATGTTCTTATACATGATACATGACAATAAAGAACTCTATCATGCAAGAAGTATGTATTTTTTGTTATTTCCTCATTCTTTTATTTTTCATTACATAGAGGATATTTGTCTGTCTGTGTGTAAGATGAAATTTTATTTCATCGAGTGGGCTTTAAAAACAGTATTTTCACGAGTGGCGTAGCCACAAGTGAGAATACTGTTTCTAAACTTCACGAGATGAAATAAAATTACATCTTACACAACAAACAAACAAATTTCATGCTTAAAACAAGTTAAAACGAAATTTTCATAATATTACGTTAATATTAAAATCTGTTTGAGAGCCCCATTTAGTCGGAATTCCTCATTAAATACAAGAAGTCTTGAGTTGAAATTATATGATTAAGCTAGACTTACCTGTAAGGTGAAGGTTAATTATGATTTCATGCACATAAAACTGAAAAATAAGTTCAATAAATCAACGCTAAATGACGGTGATATTATTCATTTTATTAAAGAAATATGAATAATTGCTTGTTTTAATAATAAAAAACAATTCTTGTACGAGAAAAAGTCAAACCGTCCATCCATATTTCTGTTACTAACTGAATTTATATAAGAACCAGTTGTTAAATGTAAGCGGCAGACATTTTTTAAAGTTGTATTTCACGGGAGGAAAATAATTGTGTTTGATTCAGAGGGATATCTTTTGGATTTGCTAGTCATACACCTTTTTAAAAGAAAGAAAATTATTTGAGGATTGTAACAGACAAAAAATAAATGTTGACAGATGTGAAAACATTCAAAAAGCAGCAAGGAAAATGGAAAACCTCAAAAGCTGGCTAAGGAACGCTGGGTTGTTTACTTATTCTTCGGGCTGATGGCTGTCATTGCTTTTCAAGTTTTCATATAGCAATAAGCATACGGCAGTTATTGCTCGTAGGATACTTTAATATGCCCAAATGTCATCAAGAGCATGTTTTGCATGTGTAAGGAATGTATTTTTCAGACTGTAAAAATGAAACAAAAAAATTTAGAGACGAAATTTGCTGATTGGAATTTGAATGAATAGAAGTAAGATTTGTTTTCTTTTTATTACTTTTGACATTTAGGTTTTTTTATCAATTTCAACTTTGCTTATCTTTAAACAGCCTGACATGTCAGAATTGTCAGCAAAAAATAAATTGAGGTACCGCACGGGGAAAATCTTAAAAAGTAGTTTCGTCATTGAAAAGTGTGAAATTATTTTTGGATAATTTTCACTGTGAAATTATCAAATATAATTTTCACGGATAAATCAGTAATCCACTGAAAAGCATAAAATAATGATATGTAATAATTTCAGGCAGTATGTTGTAGATGAGTTCCGGGTTATCAGTGTATTTCCACTATGTTTTCGTATTAACATTGCGAGCTTAAACCTTAATCTTCTGAAACCACGATTGATAAGTCCAGCCCCCCCTCCCCAGGGACAGAGTCTCGCCAGTTTGCACATTCGTGCAGTGGAACCAGGCTTGATACTATTGATATAGTACTACGAGCGTTCCTCGTTTTATTTTTATTTTGATAAGTTTAATATCAATTTAACAATTGCGAAGTGAAGAATATGGCCAATACAACATAAACAATAATGATAATGGAACTCCTTAAACTTTAACCGGACTGTTCCAAATTCAAATCTGGTATATCCATTAGAAAATTAGATTTAACAATTGGAAGATTCTCTGTTAATGGTAACATGATAGAAACTGAACATTTAGAGTTTTATAAGAATAATAAAGACGAAGTCTTATTATTAGAGATCCTGTATGTTGTAATTAATGTTGTATACTTAAGTGAAATTTTATATATTATGTAAGTATATATAATTATTCTTCTAAAACAAGTTTTAAACTTCAAAGAATATGTAAAATATGTACTGCAAATATTTGTCCACATTATATGTAATCATTAAAATATATGCATAAATTTCTTATTGAAAAATTTGACTTAGATTTCATAGAAAATAATACCTCCCTTAATTACCAATTCGGTAATACCTTTACAGATAATGCTTTTTTGGAACTTACAATATTGCCAAATCTTCATTTGAGCATTAAATTTATGATCAAAAATCATACAAAATGTGTTACAAAACCTTTAAAAAGAATGTTGACCGTAAATAATAATCCAAGACATTTTACATAAACTAATGTAAAGCATACCTGAACAAGCTTCTGATGCCAAATATTATAAGTACAATTAAGGGTGGTAATAAGCTTTTACAGTAACTGTAGCTAAACGTGAATATCAAAATTTTAATACTTAAATACTAATGTCTTATAGCTCTCCGGGCTTAGTCAAGAAGAATATTTAATATTTGCTGACTTCAACAAGGTAATTTTAAGATACGTTTTACCAGATTTTGCTCAATAGCAATTTCTCAGACGCGATATACATACTCTCAATGTGACTGTAAATGTAAATCTCTTTGAAACTCTTGAAAGCGATATCATTCATTTTCAGTCTCAAGGAACTGTTTTTGTTGCTGGGGACATGAATAGCCGTGTAGCAGTAAAGCCAGATTTCATCCGTTATGATAGAATGAATTCAATCATCGATGGTAGAGATTATGTGCCAGACGTACCTCTTTCACGAACATCAATGGATAATCATAGTAACGCTTACGGCAATAACCTATTAGACATTTGTAAATCAACGGAGCTTCGTATTTGTAATGGCCGTTTCCCGAATACAGACTCCTATACGTATTGTGGATATAACGGTAATTCGGTCATAGACTACCTCTTGTGTAAACAGTGTGATTTTGTTTCCATTAAAACATTTGAATTGTCTGACTTTAACATGTTTTCTGATCATAAGATCATTCAGTTTCGTGTTGCGGCGAATACCTGCGTTAAATCGTATATTGAGGAATCTTTCAATGATAAGATAAGATGGAATCCGGACAAACGTGATGAGTACAGGAGAGGGCTTATATCGAAGTTACCACAATTTAATTCAATATTTGACACTGTAGTTAATCACAATGCTTCAACTGTGAACAGAGTAGTCTGCGAGTTTGTAGGTCTTATTAACGAGGTCGCAAAACCGTTATTCCTGGAAAATATACGATCAAGAGACTTTTATTCAGGAACGCACAAATTCAAAAGGAAATCTGTGGTTAAAAAATCGGAGTGGTTTGACCAATCTTGTTATGATAAAAAACATGATTATTTAGAGGCTTTAAAGTGTTTTAATCAATCTCCGACCGAGGAAAATAGATTATCCCTTATGTCAAGAAAACGGGTGTACAAAAAATGGATTAAAACAAAAAGATTGCAATTTAAGTCTGTTAAAATGAATGACATTGAGAATTTGAAAACGAAAAACCCACGTGAGTTTTGGAAATTCTTTTCAAAAAAGAAAATTTCAAAAGGTAGTGATTTATCAGCAAATGACTTCAGTGCCTATTTCAAGAATTTAATAGACGAAATCAATATTACATGTGACAGCGAAAGTGAAGAGTTTTGTCGGCAGGAGTTGTCGCCAGATGACCCCATATTTGAGGAGCTTGATACTATTATAACTATTGCAGAGGTACAGCATGCAATTAAGCATCTTAAGC